AGCCGTCCCCTCAGCCTGACAGGATTCCCCCTGTTGCGACCGCCTCGACCCGCAAGGATGATGCGACAACAGGTTCTTCTTTCAGATGGTTTATTGAGGACCTTGTTTACAGCTTCTTTTTTCCTACTACTCTCCTGCCCGCTTCTTCCTTCTTCTTCCTGTTTCTCCTGCTTCTCTTGTTTCTCCTTCCCATCCGCCCCCGCGCTCCGGTTATAAGCCTCCTGGATGGCCAATCCTGAAGCGCCATGTGGCATATACTGATAGGGCTGCAAACACGGAAGCAAACTAGGAGCCAAGTCATAGCCATATAAGGAGTTGTTTTTTACAGAGAGCACTCGTCACCGGGAAGACGGAAGGCGGGAGCCCGCGCCATCTTAGGTCGCAGCCGCGCCATGCGGTCCCGCCATATTAGCTACAATGTTGCTTTTGCAGCCGTCTTTGGTTGTGGCTCCCGCAGCTCTCCACATCCCCCCTTACTCAGACCTCGTGGGCCAAGGCCTGAGGCTAAGATCTTGCTGGTGTCACTTGCAGGTGGTCAGTGGCAGTTTCATCCAGCTGCAAGTTCTCCCTGCCGGCCCTTTTAAGTTATTGTTAGATCCTCCAGGTTTTTCACCCCTCACCAATCCCCTACTTCTGGATCCAGAGAGGGTAGAGGAGGTGGCAGTGAAAGGTAGAAAGGGAGGTCAGTTTAAAGTGTAAGTAACAAAGAAAGAGCTAGAGTGATACAGATATTGAGGGAGTGTTAGCCAGCCTCCTCCGGGCTCTCATATCAGTATGAATCTGAGAGAAGAAAATTCCAAGAATTCCAAAATACATACACACAAACATTGGGACAAAACACATTTATAGCATGTGAGTTGTAGACTGTCAGACAGAAAGTGCTGGACTACAGATGGGCCCAAAGATCTGCACTAGTGGATAGTTTACCCTGATGAGGATCAGGGGGAGGTCTCCCACCAGCCCAGTTAGCTGTCTTATAGTGTGTCCACCAAGACTCTTGCCAACCCCAATACAGAATCTGCAGGCTACACAGATACCAGACAATTACAAAGCAGCAATATTTTAACTTACAGGCCATTTGCATCATAGTGTCCCTGAATCCTTTTTTCCTTTTTTCCTTTTTTTTTGCTAAGTTTCTACACTAATGGTTCCTTCCTCCAAGAAGCATACTTCCTGGGGCATACTTCCTTAACAAAGCAAAAGAAACTCTCTAACAGCCTCTGTCCAACTTTCACTCCTCGAGCTTGAAGCATGCCCTAAGAGCCTGCACATAAAATGTGCAGCTGTTACCTTGCCTCATAATTTCTTGCTCCTGATTATACTATCACCTGCTCTCTTTTTCCAGACATGTCCTCTTACCTTAGCGTGGTCCTCTGCCTTGATCCCAGGTTTTCAGGTCCCTGTTCCGTCGCCACTTGCCGGAGCCCACCGGCAAAGAAAGGAAATCCTGAATTAGGGGTGAGGATGTGGAAAAATAAAGACATAGACAGAGGATGGGGTTGGGTGGTCTGCAGCTAAAGACTGCAACACCTTTTATTTTTATCTTCCCTAAAATATACAATTAGAAGTCCAGAGGTAACATAAGGTTACAATAGTCCAGAAAAACAAGGAAAATTTCAGTAAAAACAGAGTGCAGTAAAAACAGGACAAGGTCAACTGGTAGAAAGTAAAACAAACTCTGCAGACATAGCAAAGCAATCCTGGGCACCTGGTGTTTTTCAAGAAAGCCATCTCCTTGTATGTGCTTTCAAGTGAGCACAGGGTCAAGATGACCTTTAAACTTTACTGTCATCTCCCAACACCTTGTGGGCCATCTCCCACGAACTCTCGCCCTCTGACCTCGAAATCCGTTTCGTGCCTCTGGTGAAACGGCTGGCGGTGGGCAACTGGTTCACCTCCCACACATCTGCCTGAGGCCTCCTCTCTGTCTGCTACCCAGGAGTGTCCAGCACTGTGAAAGCAGACCTCCACCAGTGAGTCCCGGCTTCCCTGCCACCACCTGCTCCATCACCCCTGTCCTGTTCCTTCGGGACAGCTCACCTGCTGGGCCTCAGTGGCAGTCCCCCACGCCCCTGTGGGTGCGTGAATGCACAGTAACCCTACCTGCTGCTCCCTTGAGCTGCTATCGCTGAAGGCCCTGCTCCTCTTCTTCCTCCTATCCTGGGTGAAGCCTCCTATGCCTGGGCAACAAGCATGGCGCCAAAGGGTCCACCCCCTCTGATCTCTCCTGGCTCCAAGTTCGTCCTGCCCAGTGAGTCTCATCCCTTCTTCATATTGAGCATAGTCACCAGGTGCTGCTGTGAATGAAGAGAAGTCAGGAGCTGGCTGTGAGCTCTGACCAGGAGGTGTGCAGTGGGTTAGCAGGAGTTGGGAGTCTGGTCACCGCATGGCAAGGACACAGGGGACAGGAAACAATGTGGTAGCGCAGAACTGAGGGTACTTAGGAAGAAAGGAGGAGACAGAGATGGAGAGAGATATCCTGAATGTGCGAACTCTCCAGAAGTAACGAGTCCAGGCAGGGCCGCACGTCAGCGTGACAACGGGAGGCTGTGTTTCCAGTGGACTGCATGGATGTGTGGAGTGCGGAGCCTAACCTTGTGCTGAAGAGGTGAGGGACAGCGCCTAGGCTTAGAGTTCAAGGCTCATGGCTGACCAAAAAAAAAAAAAAAGAGGAAAAGCTTATGGAGCATTGCTGAGCGCTGTGGGGGAGGGGAAGCACAGGGAGTGGGTTGTCTTGGATTTGGATCTTGCTCAAGACAGAGTATGAGGTGGGTGAAGGGTGGGGTGCTCCTGGGGAGCTGGTGCTGAGAGGGGGTGGGGGGGCAAGAAAAGCCTACATCTCCTCAGAAGGCAAGGAGCTGGTCGAGGATTCACGCTGCCCCTAGGTTAGGAGGCTAAGTCCACATCCACACACTCCAAGGTGACACAGACAGGGAAGACCTCTAGGGATGGGAACACATGGGGTCAGGGGAGGACCAGGTGTATGTGAGGTTAATGATGACACCAGACAGCTCCCCTAGGGACCCCAGCACGCGTGTGCTGGGTGGAATGACTTTGGGCTGAATTAAGGGCATGGGGCATGGAGGGAAACTGGCTAAAGCGAGTGTGCAGGGGGGAGTGCAGAGATGGCGGGGTCTGTGGTTCAAGCCTTTCTGTGGTGGGGTGGCTGTGGGAACTTCAGGATCAGGAGGATGCACCTGGCTCAGATCCCACAGTCCACTCAACACCTAGCATAGTCCCTGGAGGCAGGCCTGCCATCTGCTTGCTTTCCTTCTCTGTGCCGGTCCCAGAACTCAGGGCCTGGGGCATGTCCCTGAGCTTTTGTGTTCAGGGCTGGTGCCTGTCCCCAGGGCATCAGTGCTACTTTGGGCTTGCTGTCACCCTGAAATTCATTCCAGAGAAGAAAAGGGTGGAGATGGAGAGCCCTGGACCGGAGGGCCCTGCCTGTCGTTCAGCACAGCAGCCCTGACCTGCACCCCAGAGGCTGTGGTAAGGTGATCTCATAACAAGGGACATGAGGATCACTGCAGGAAATGTCACAATAGCCAAGCAAGGGACTTTCTCAAGGAGCCTTTGTGTTGCAAAAATATTTTTACATTAAAATATGTGCTTTTCAAAAGTATACTTAATGTCCTTGTTGAATTAGCAGAGAGTCTAGAGATATGTAACATAGACCACAAAGGAAAAGAAACCGTTGTGAAAATAAATTATGTGTAAGAAATAAACAGGGACAAGACTAAGGGAGTAACTGTCAGGAAGGAACCTTGATGTTTGTGGTCAGTGCTACACCAGCAGGACTTCCTTCCTTCCTTCCTTCCTTCCTTCCTTCCTTGCTTTCTTCTTTCCTTCCTTCCTTCCTCTTTGCTTCCTTCTCCTCCTTCCTTCTTTCCTTCATTCCTACCTACCTTCCTTTGTTTATTTCTTCCTTCCTTCCTTTTTTGCCGGCTTTCCCTCTCTCTCCTTTGTCTGTCTCTGTCTATCTGTGGCCCTCACTCTCTCTTTCCTTCTTTGTGCCAATCGTGGAGCTTGAACTCTGGCATCTCTTCTATCCGTGGGATGATTTTCCTCAAAGGTAGCACTCTATCACTTCAGGCAGAGCACCACCTCCATCTTTTTTTTTCTTTTAGTGGTTTATTGGAGACGAGAGTCTCAGAGAGTTTTCTGCCTAGACTGGTTTTGAACTGTGATCCTTATATCCTGCCTCCTCAGGAAATCAGAACACAGCGATCAACCACCACCACCCAGCTGCTATTTTCTTTCCAACTACTTTCTTCTCCAGGACAGAAAGGGCTTCAAGAATGATTTGCTTCATTGCATAGGAAACTAGTAAAGAAAGAAAGAAAAAAATTAAAGAACTCACAATAGAATTAGGAAAACATGTTAGGTGAGTTTAACCAGTTTATCTTAAACTTGACACCACCAACACGTAATGGGGCAGATTCTCTGGAAGAAGTTGACATGATCTAATAAGTATTATTTCAAATTCTAACATTTCCATTTTCATATAATTTTTTAGGCCAGCAAAATAGAGACAGATGAACACACACACAGATATATAGCACATAAATGTGCATGTGTGGACATGTGTGCACACTTCTATCTCTCAGCAGATGACTTTTCTCTAGGTATGGAGATTGTTGAATTGTCGTGACCGCCTCGACCAGCAAGGAAGACGCGACACCGAACTCTTCTCTCTGCAGTTTATTCAGGACCTTTGAGTAATCTTCTGACCCCAACCCTGGGGAGAATTCCCCACAGCCTTAAGTACCCGCTGGGTAGCCAACCCTGATACACCACGTGGGAACCACTAATAGGTTCAGTTGCGAGGAAGCAAGCCAATTCTTTGCCTTAGCCATATAAGGAGTTGTTTACCACAGAGAGCACTCGCCATCCGGAAGGCGGAGGGCGGAAGCCGGCGCCATCTTCCAGGTGCAGCCTCTCACAGCTCTCTACATTGAATGGCCAAGCAAAGTTCAGCAGAGATGCAAGCTTGGTGGTCCTCAGGGGAAGACCTGTTTCTTCTTTGTGCAGGTGAAGAGGACACTGCAGGGAGTGGAGTGTCCGCTCATGAGCAGGAAAGGGCTGAGGGCTGGGAAACAGCCCATAGCAAATGCTGCCATATGGTGCAGCACAGGGCTGGGGTTGTAAATCACAGACAAGCAAATCTGAGAGATGAAGGACACCGTATAAAAGAAGACAAAGGCGCTCACCAGGAGGAGGATGTTTATGATGGATCTGGACTGGAGAGAGGCTCTGGTGGAGACACTGGTCCTTGGGATGTGCCGCATTTTCTGCTTGTGTCTGTACAGGACAAAAAGCATGGAGGTGCTGGCCCAGAGCATGAGCCCCAGAAACAGAATATCAGGCCCCGAGAGTATGGCCATGTGCAGCACAGCAGCAGCTGGATTGTGACACATGGAAGAACAGTATCCATAGGACTTTAAGCTCGTCATGTTGTCATGCACTTTGGGTCCAGTCATGTACATAAGAAACATAATGCTCAACAGGAAGGAGACCCCCCAGCTGAGGTAGACGGTGGAGACAATGTGCTTGTGGGCTCTCCCCTTCAGCCTTGCCCAGCTGGAGTCCCCCTGGCTGATGCTGACAGCAAGGAAGAGGCTCAGGGAGCAAGTGCTACCCATCGACACCCCCCTGCTCACTCGGAAAAGATAGAAGACCATTTTGCACCCCACATCATTGAAGAAAATTCTCCAGCCCCAAGCCACCATGGTTTGGGGAACACCCCTACACAGAAGACTTAGGAAGTTGGCTACAATTAAGTGCCTAAGAATCAAGTCTTTGGCTCTCATCCTGTTCCCCATGCAGGAAAGGAATAGATAATGGGAGAGAAGAGACAAATTACCCACAAAACCAACCACAGTCTGGGCTAAGAGGATCACCCCCAAGACACATGGGTATCTCCCATCCTCTCTGTTCCTTCAGTCTTATCCAGAGGCTCTGGTCTGGGAAACTGAGGCTTGCATGGTTCCAAGGGAACTCAACATTCTCCATCCAGCATTCAGACCACTAGAAATAATTTCCTAATGTATCTCATGTATTAGGAAAAATCCAGTTCTATTCATCCTTCGAGAAGAAGAAGACCACATGTTCATGGAAATGGGTGAGCCTGGAGAAATGGCATTAGGGGAAGGTGAGTCAGGTTCTGAGATGAAGACGGCTACATTTCTCCTCTGTAGAATCAGATCTAAGTTTCTAAACAAGAAAGGCCCTGTGGTTCAAGCCTGTAATCCTAGCTACTCAGGGGCTGAGACCTTGGATTCCCAATTCAAGGCCGGCCTACAGAAGGAAAGCCTGTGAGACTCTTCTCTCCAGTTAAGCACCAGCAAATCAGAAGTAGACCTGTGGCTCAAAGTGGTAGAGGCCTAGACTTGAGCAAAAAGGGCTCAAGGAACATGGGCAAGCCCTGAGTTCAAGCTCTCTGACTGACTAAAGAAAGAAACTGGAAACATGCGTGACACGTTCCTGGGGTCACATACACTTATACCTCAATACAGTGGCTGGGGGCGTGGGTCCCAGGTGTCACCCTTTCCTCAACATGGAGTCCACATTTCACAGAAGAAATACCAGGAAGATGAAATGGTCTGTGGTGGGGATGGTGCGGGTGAAGAAGGAGGTGGATGACAGAGAACGAGAGGGGCAATTTTAGGTTCAAATGCCATTCTAGAGTTGCTGCTGTGAACACATCGTCCCCAAGCCTTGAACAATCAGGATTCCTCCTCACTTGTCATAAACAAGGACAGACTCTGTTAAGAAGAAGTGAGGAACCAACCGAGCTTGGGGGTGGGGAGCATAGAACCGCAGTTATTTTCACTGTCCTAGCCCATTCCTATCCTTCCCTGTGGCTTTGTTATGCATCCAGGATCAATCCAGAATCCCTGCTCCTAAGGTGATTCCTTACCCAGAGTGTGGAACCTGGGGTCTCTCCTGCAGGCTGCGCCTTTCCAGTGGCAGTGAACACAAGTGCTGGCCTCTTCTCTCAGGATGTGTGTGGCAGGGCGGGTCGTTTCTGAGATGCACATGGGCACTTCAGAACTGCAGAAGGCTCCTTAGAGAGGGGTCCAGGAGGGCGGCAGCTGAGGTCGTCTCCCACGGGAGTGGTGATTTTCCCTTTACCTGGGGTGGCATGCCATGTTCTCAGTAAACATTTTCTTCTCCCCCATGTGACCATTACCAAAACACTTTTCACTTTCATGTGGGTGCTTCTCCAGGGGACAGGGGAGTGGTGCAGTCACTTACCTCTCCTGGATCCCAGTAGGCCGGCAGGAGACACTAAGGCCTGAAGAGAGATGACGCTAAACAACCTCAGCGGTGTGTAAGCCATGTGTTCCCAAAGTTTCTTATCCAAAGTGTCCCTTCCTATTCTGTTTCCAGTTCTGAGACTTGAACTCAGGGCTTGGGCACTGTTCCTGAGCTGGTTTTGCTCAAGGCCAGCACTCTACCATTGGTGCCACAGCACCATTTCTGGCTTTTCCTATGTGTGCTGCTGAGGAATTGAACCCAGGGCTTCTTGCATGCTAGGCAAGCACTCTACCACTGAGCCACCTTCCCAGCCCTCTTCATCTCAGTCTTCTTTTATTTTTTTTATCATCTTATATGCTGTTAGAAAACAAAAATGGAACCCGGTACTGATGCACTCTCAGGAGCCTAATATTAGAGAATCAAGGTTCAAAGCCAGCCTGGTGAAGAAAGCCCATGAGATTCTTATCTCCAATTCTTATCTCCACTTTGGTGGTAGAGTGCCAGTCTGGAATAAAAGAGCTCAGCAACAGCATCCAGGCCCAGAGTTCAAACCCCTGGACTGGCACAAAAGAAAGAAAGAAAATAGAATGAGACGTTTCTGTACAGGAGCTTCTTTGGCAATAATGGCCATTTTTTCTTAAAATGATTTCATCCCTAGAGAACCGATTTGGAGATTAGAGGTAAGCATTTCATGCATATTCCTGAAAGCAGGATTATCTCTTTTCATGCCTGGTTGTTTCTGAGGAGGTAGCTTCATTCTCTAAATCACTACCCATTTTCATTGTTATCAGTGGTGATTTTGAAGCAGGAATTTGTCAGTGTGCTCAGGAGAGGATCAGCAGTGACTCCTCACCCTTTGTTTCTGGTCTACCTCAGTGCGTGTGACTCCATTCCTCACCTGGACCCTTCTGGTCTGGCTGACAATTCTTCTGCCCTGTTCTTGTCTGTTTCAAGAACATGCATTTTCCTTTCTGTGTCTGACTTCTTGCATTTTCCACAGCGATCTGTAGTTCTAGAGATGTGGCAACAAATGACAAGATTTCCTTCTTGTTCATGGCCTAGTCGTACTTTGTGATGGAAATAGGCTACATCGTCTTTTTTTTGTGAAACATCTTTTTATTAAACAGCCAAGCAGAAATGCAACACAATTTTAAATATTTGTAAAATTAGGTCACAAAAGGGATGCAGACACGTGGGGCTTAGAGCCGCAGGGGACAGGATGTTAGGTCCCTTTGGATTTGCTGTCTGGGAGCGTCTCCAGTTGCATGTGGCAGGTGCCATGTCCTTTGGGAAAAGGTGGTGCTGTCCAGACAGAAAAGCAGAAGCCTGAGCCTCACGCCAGCAGAACATGCAGGATTGGTTTTGTAAGCGATTACTGCAGCATGATTGTGGGGTAGAGCAAAATGACAGGTTGTCATCTTACAGACAGCAGTGTAGTGTCAGGGTTCTGGAGGTGGTGCTCTGAGCCCTGGGTGCTGAGCTTCTTGTAGTGAGTCCTAGGTCAGAAAGGAAGAATCCCAGAGATCGTCGGTGTCCTGGCCTGCCCTGCCCAGCCCTGAGACCTGAGACTGTGGCTGGGCTTGGCACTGTCTTTGGGTGGGAGCCGGGCATAGGGGCCGGTGGTTCGGGGCAGGCTGGGGGAAGGGGACAGCCTGCACAGCCTCCAGGAGGCAGTGGCTGAACCGAGTCTGAACAGATAGAAAAGGATGTTTAGCGGAGAACTGTGCTGAGACTGTAAGCTGTACTTGAACAGGATATCTGCTTGCCACAGTGTTGCACAGGATGGGACTTGGTCTCCCCTCCCTGAGGAGTGTAGAGTGGCACTGTCACTTCAGTGCTCCCCCACCCATCCCCAGCTCCTATCTTTTTCTCTGTGCTGGCCATATGGAAAATCTGTGGGTACTGACAGCAAGCTTGTGCATCTTGGGACCGGGATCACAGGGTGCCAGGGTCCCAGGGTGGGCTGTGATGGGAATGCCCTGCGCCTACAGACACCATCTACGCTGAGGATGAGGTCCTTCTGGCCCTGGCTGAGCAGCTGGGAACCTTTACCGGCCTGGTGGGGAGTCCAGAGTAAATGCACTGCCTGCTGGTGAGTGGCATGCGGGGTCCTCACTCCCATCCCCGGAGCAGAGACAGGAGCCATAGAGCAGGGTTGGTAGGGGGAGGGGTGCTGTCCAAGGGGATGGCCTCAAGGCTGGAGGGCTGAGCAGAGCATCGTGCCACCCGCCCCTCCCCCGCCCCTGCAGCCCCCACTGGAGTCGCTCACCACGGTGGAGGTGACAGTGGTGGGGGATAACACAGTGGTGTCCTTGCGGGCCATCTCCCATGAGAACTTGTCCTCTGACCTCGAAGCCCATTTGGTGCCCCTGGTGAAACTGCTCGCTGGGGGCAGCTGGTTCACTTCCAGCACCTTGGCCTGGGGCCTCTTCTCCGTCTGCTACCTGTTAGTGTCCAGCGCTGTGAAAGCAGAGCTCTACCAGTGAGTCTGGGGCTAACTTGCCACCGCCTGCCCAACTGCCCCTGTCCTGTCCCCTGGGGTCAGCTCACCTGCTGGGCCTCAGTGGCAGTCCCCTCCCCCTCCCATGTGAGTGTGAATGCACAGTAACCCTACTTGCTGCTCCCTTGAGCTGCCCTGGCCGCAGGCCCCCCTCCTACTCTTCCTCCTATCCTGAGTGAAGCCTCCTATGCCCTGGGCAAAAACCATGGCACCCAAGGGTCCATGCCCTCTAATCTCTCCTGGCTGCTTGAGTTCTTCCTGCCCAGCGCCACTCTAGATCCCCAGGTACTTACAAAACCTCTGTTCAGATGACACCCCCATAGTGGGACGGGCCGCAACTTCCAAGCTGGGGGAGTTCGCTAAGGTCCTAGAGCTGGACAACGTCAAGAGTGAGATCATCCCCTTAGTTCTCCAACCTAGCCTCTGATGAGCAGGTGGGTCCCTGCTCCACCCTTCCTCCTCTCCCCTTTCCCCCTCCCTCATTCCGCCACTGGGCCCTCTGCCCTTATGCCCCATGGACACTTAGCACCCCTTCTGCTACCCAGGACACTGTGTGGCTGCCGGGGGTGGAGGTGTGTGTGAACATTGCCCAGCTCCTGCCCCAGGAGGACCTGGAAGCCCTGGGGATGCCCACACTGCACCAGGCGGCCGAGGACAGGTCCTGTCACTTCCACTACATGGTGGCCAACAAGTTCACTAAGGTGCCTGAGGCCTGCAGTGCACAGGCAGGGCCAAGGCTGAAGGGAAGAGGGAAGCGTGTCTGTCCTGCATGGGAGTGGGCAGCCTGACGTCCGTGGGCAGAGAAGCCAGGGCTGGATCTTGGCAGGGTCAGGGGTGCACATTCACACTGGGAAGCTGTCACTTGCCCTGCTTTGTACACGGCAAGGACCTGGAAAGGT